CTGAAACTCGTTCCCACCGCTGGCTAGTTTCCTTGGGAAAGGTCTTCAAAGCTTGAACCAAAGCTTTTTCCTGAACAGACGACCATGCATCTTGATCTGAACTTGAAGCAACACCATTAGAAGCTGCACGATCATCCAAGTTCTGGCAGCTTCCAGTTCCACTGGATGACTCAGGCAAATTATTTGGATCAGAAGCATTCCTCTCGGGCACATTGCCGTTTGATATCCCAGGAAAGTCCTCTCTTTTTCATGGGTTATAACAAGTAGGTGAAGAAGACAACTATGGTCCCCTAGTAGGTAGCGAGAACCATTGGCATCAATCGTCCCATAAGCTTTTGTGATAGACTTTAAAGAGAGGATCATGAACCACAGTCAGTAATATGAAGACCAAATAATAGGAAAATACAGAGTTAGCAGCAGTCATATGTGACCTACAGGTCTGATTGGGATTGCTTTAAAAGCCGAGGCACTACAGTACACAATGGTTTCTTCTCCAATAATTAAGACACCGCAAAGTAGAGGAGGTACTGGTATTAGCAACTCTGCCCCATTATTAAGATTGTTCTGAGACCATGGACCCTCAATAAAATCTTTATCCCTCAAAGCCACCTCGTATGTTTGAACATGACGGGCATCCTTGTTATCCTGCCAATCATAAGGTTGAAATGACAAGTTGGCACGTGCCCTAAAGGAATCGAGAAACAATCCCAACCTAACACACGCAAGTATAAATTATATATTTTTTATATTGGATACACACTCAAAAGTGAAATCAAGAAAAGGTTTCAAAGAATTTATAAATATATAAAAAGCAAATAGTCAATGGTTTTAAGGCAACAAAGATGATTCGCTATGTGATTATGGAAGGAAAACATAACTTATATCTCGAAATTTTAATAATAAAAAATTGTTCACATAACTGAATCAGAACCTGGTAAAGTACAACAATTGTAGGCGTCGGACAACCATGTAGAAATTTGATATCCAAAACTTGAAGCTCCTCAAGCCTGAAGAAGCCACCAACCATAGCAAAAGTCAGAGTAAATACTACGGAAGGCTTTTCAAGTAGACAACATAACTAAACATAAAACCTGCACCATATAAGTCCTAGTTTCAGATTAAAAGTTTTTTTATTAAAAACTCGAGACAAGTACAAGCGATCAACATCATGTTTCCATTGCCAACATACAAGAAAAGAAAACTAGTAAGAGTACCACCACCAACACAAAAGGCAAAAGTTTACTCCAAATCATCATATCACAATTTTTTTTTTTAATATTACTTTTTTCAAGAGGTTCTTATGGAATATAGCTCTCAACCACACATCCTACAAATGACTATCAGTGAAAATCATCATATCACAATTTTTTTTTAATATTACTTTTTACAAGAGGTTCTTATGGAATATAGCCCTCAACCACACATCCTACAAATGACTATCAGTGAGAGTAATCATAAGTACGCATCTATAATGCGTTGTCCAGATCTGCAAAAATCCAATTATGAAGCTAACGCCTTGCAAGAACCCCCAAAGATATGCAAAGCATTTTAAAGTGTATACCTAGAGGGCATCTTCTTACTATGTGCATTAGAATCATTCACTCTGCCCCAATTATTTGTGCTGGCTTTCTTTTCTCAAGGAAGGAATCAAAAGCTTTGGCGGAGTCAGGCCTCTGAAGAAGAACAGTTTTTGTAGCCTTCAGAATCTCTTCAACTGACCTTCCAGTACCAATGTACTCAGAAATCACTTCCCACCTCCGAGAAGTTCCTTTAGGATATTTTTGCATCCCCTTTCTTAACATCTCAATCTCTTCTTTGCCCCAGGGATTCTCCCTTTTCTCATTGCTGCCAAAAATGACTTGCTCATTCACCCCCATAGAACCATTCTGCTGTTCGTTCTTCTTCTCATTATGCTTCTCATACTTCGCTTTGTTATCAGATCCAAGTGCATGCCTTAGAAGTTCAGCTCTTCCTTAGAAGTTCAGCTCACGCCCATTGTCAGCACAGTGGGGCTAGTAGCCCAAAATTGCCTTCTTAGAACATAACATATGACATACAAAACAAACAAAGAAACACCAACACAACAAGAAACCAAAAACCCTCTCAGTTTCAGAATTATTTCACAAAGAAAACAATTACTAGAAAAATAGAACAGCAAAGTAGGGACCAGAACTCCATACTGTGGCATGTGCAAACTGAAGAACCAAGTTCTTTACATGGAGGAAATTGGGTAGTATCAAAATCAATTGTTGGAGTGTTAATTGCTGTAATTGACTGCTTACCCATGTTCTTACCACCATCAATTGAATATTTATTGGTCGAATTGAACCATTGTACCAGAATAGAATCATCAACAAAGCTCAAACCGTGTTTCACACAGAATCTTCATTGCAGCCACAAATTGAGCGGGTTCACGGTTCAATTGGGGTTGACCCATGGCTGGGCTAGGTGCGCCAGGTGAAGGCGCACCTAGCCCAAGTGGTACG